CCCCCGAATTAACCTACAAAAAAATGTACCTACCGTCAATCTGATTAAGACAGGCACAAGGGACCGTGAAAATGGCAAAATTAGTATCCTGTACACCAACAGCGCCAACTGAAATTACTGTAAACTTCACGTCCCTCGTTTTAGCATCGAAAAGAAAAGACTTATCTCCCCAGTCCACATTTGTGTGGGATAAAGTTCACACCGCACACATAAACCAAACGGGTCTCTACAATGAATTAAGCCTGGTAACTAAGAAGAAAAATCAACATACGGTTTCTGGTGTCTGTGTTTACTTTATGACTTGACAGTAACCTACGGTCAAAGGTCAGCATGCACGACGTGCCAACAGGTAGCTCTCTCAGTCATCCATGTCGTAATTTCAACTGGCAAAGACCAACATTATGTTCATACCCAGTATACAGCCACAGTACTCATCAAACGTCACATGATCCTGATTTTTGCACTGTCGTTCGGGGATACCCTTCAATCATCTTTACACCTGCCATATACTTAATTGAACACACACCCCGCACAAAACACAAACTTCGGGAATAAGTCTTTTGCAAGTTAAATTTGAATAAAATCTGGTACACTGTGCTATCTTATTTCATATAAACATAACAATTCGAATTCCCCAGACTAAAGACTATACCTCGTGATTTGGGGCAAGCTTTTACATAGCGACCACATTCTCTGGAATGGACGTGTTCCTTTGTGCCCTCATCCATTGACAACAGTGTAATGATGCAAGGCGTCTCGCATGTAACTTAGCTAAAACTTGCCCCAAATCACGACGTATAGCAACATTTGATGCGAACTATGCGACAGAGAGAACCCCCTTTAGAGGTTTTGTCTTTAATTTAATTAAACAAAGATAGAAATAATTACCCCTAAAGGAAAAAACTTGAGTCTCGGTCTTCTCCGACCGCTTCTTGACTCGACGAAACAGTGAAGATTTAATATGCACAATAATTAATACTAAGGAAATGTGTCCTTCCGCGGGAACAGTCACCGTAGGGAGTAAACACTGCCTAATCAGATCCTATCCCCGCATCTGGACACACTAGTTGAACGAAGAAAAAATGGCTGCTAGATGAAGTAGTGGACCAGTGACTTGTGGAAGCTCGACTGCACAGCGAAGGAGTGTGTTGCATTCTGCATGCACTAAGCTTTTATACTACTTTGCTGGAATGAAGAGCCCTACCCTGTCCATTGAATTCAATTATAAAAAACACAGGTCTGAACAAAGAGAGGGATTAACCGACCTCTAAAAAAGCCAGGGCTGCAGCGCTAAAGCTGTTCAGGAATTCACTACACCCCCCCCGCCTTTGTGTTAGTCATTGTTATACTGGTATCTCAGGAATTCTTTTCAGACATCTAGGGGAATTTGTTAAGTAACAATAGGCTGGAGTGCGTATAGAGATTGGACTTGTTGGGAGGAACCCCTCTGTCCCATTTCGTGCCCGGTATATACAGGGTGTCCCCCCCCAAAAAAAAACCCTGAGGAAAGGGGTTAATATGCCCAAACCATGAGATATGATTATAATGTATAAGGATTTCCGAAAAGTAGAAGCAGCTAATGATACCTTGATGGTATCCCTCCTGTCATGCATGACTGAACACCATTGTCTTGAAACTGGGGCATCCGAACTCAGTTGTAACACTTTGAATAAGCCAGTGAATAAGGTTGTCCTCTGTCATGCTTGTCCTGGATAAGATATCAGGGGCAGACCGATTATTTACACATAACGTAATTCACGGTTAATTATGCACCGACAGCTTCCGCGTGTCCACGTTCCGATTGTCAACCATTCAAGAAACCTTTCATTTGCCTGACAGCGTTCCAGGAGCCACTGAGCAAACTCCCATCTCCTCCTGAGGTCTCCAGCAAAAGTTAGTGGCGGATGTGCATTCGGTATGGATGGAACTGCAGGTCAAACTGCTATATGCGGTTAAACGAAGAATGGGACTGTCCAAGTCCATGCCTCCTGCAACTGGTCCCCCTTGGCAGTTCCACAAGTTGCTGTCGAACTGCAGCAACGTTTTTAGGAGTTCGCACGGTGCACCTCCTTCCCGAATGACCCAAATTGAGGCTTGTCACATGTTCTCGGTATTTTGTGCACATTTTCCGAGATGGTCGACTTTTCCGGTACGGATCCCTATCAGGAAACGCTTCCCCAAACTTAGCTTGGGTGGCTTGAAAGCTCTTGTTTTCAAGAAATTTTGTTACGACAAACACTCTTTGCTCTTTGGTAGGTTGCACCATGTTGTTAGACTTGCTGTCCTGCTTCGAACACTTTTCAACACTGCACTGGCCTACCTCTGGGCAAGTCAACACATTTAAACCAGATTATTGCATAACTTGAAAGTGACAAAAGGCAATCTTCCCTCATTAACATGACCTTTTGTTGTCTCTTTCAACCAGGACAAGCAAAGTGTTACAACTGAGTTCGGATGCCCCATTTTCAAGACAATGGTGTTCAGTCGTGCATGCCAGGAGGGATACCATCAATCATACGTTCGTGGTGCAGTTGACCACGTGAGAGTCACTTACCGCAGTTCCCGTCCAAGACCTATTTACTGTCGACTTCTTCAGTATGCAAATCAACACTTCATCCTCAACGCTTCTAAACACCTCAAGGACAAGAAGTACCAGGGTCACGTTTTCATCTCAGGCCATATTACACCCAAGCTGAGAGCTGAGCGTAAGGAGCTGCGAGAATATACAAACAGGAATTACTGGTCCCGAGGTGTAAGTCACCTTGATTCGCGTCGGGAGGTAGTCAAACTGACCTACACCGAGGGACCAGTAATTCCTACTATTTTCCCGGAATAAACCATGCTGTATTTGTTTTACTACACTTCATAAATGTTCAAACAGAAATCTAACGTTACTTGTACTCACAGACACCATTGTTGTTTCTCAGCTGCTAAATTTCCATGGAATGACAGTTGAGTGCAGATGTGCATAGAAACAGGGCTTCAGTAGTCTGGTGCTGACATACGTTTTTGGTCTTTACTGTAATAGTTATTAGGATACAACTCCACACTGGTTCCGTAAAGATTACACAGACCACACATTTACGCGGCGGGTTCCAGAGGGATTTCTTGATGCTACCAGAAAAAACTACCGCACGGCAGCGAGGTAGATACTCACCGCTATGATGTCACCTGGTTGCGTATCATTTCTACTATCAGACACGAGGTGGAATCGGCGAATGACGCGCTCACATTTGCTCATCCGTTACAAGGTCCGTAATGGCCGGTTCAAATCATATCGTCTTGGTGGAGTTGCATGATCTGTCACAAGCTTCATTGTTTGTTTGTATATCTAATGCATGTATGTTGTTTACATAATGTGTATTTTTGTTTTTATCTTGTGCGTCTGCTTGTCTGTCCATAGGCTGGAGAACAAAAGGTGTTGCTTCACTCCGAACCTAAATGTTGCCTTAAGTTTAAAGTTCAAATTATATTATCTGTCGATATATCTATGTACATTGTACATGATATGCCAATGCGATTTGGTCATTGTATCACCCTTCATGGACTATGGCAGCATTGAAATAAAATAATGTAAATCTTACAAGAAACCTCATCTAACGTACACGGGAAAATACATTGGCTTCATATAGTCTTTTCTTGCAGCAATGATAATTGAAATTCATCGTTTGTGCTCTCCTTGACAGTTCAAAATACATCGTTATGATTTCTGAAAACATTCCATTTTGTATAAATGAATCTGAAATGGCCAGAAATTAATGCAACATGATTTTATTGCCACAAATTGCGTATGCGATAGCATAGAAGCTCTGTCATGAATGTATGTGATATAATAATGTTTATGAGCAAACATTCTAGCTGTACAATACTCCCATATAAGTTCACCCAGGCCTAAGCGTGTTTACCATGCAATACTGCGTCATGCACATAGCTGTTTTTGTACCAATTTGTCAAATTCGTTGAAATTTAAATTCAAGAAATCTGAGGTTTGGTTAAAAAAAATTTAAAAAGTAAAAAATCTGCTTGATATTCAAAACGTTTCATCAATTAGTAGGCTAGTTTCATCGAGCCATGCTCACCGTTGTTTTCATTCTAACTAAAAAGTTCAATAATTTTCCAAATGTTATACTTTCAGATAATAAGATGCTTTGTCCACTTCAAACCAAACGACCTGAAAGAACTCTCATGGGAGTTAGAGTGGTAAAATCCGGTGTTTTCCAAATGTTTTTCTTGGAGAGATGTTACTATGCAACTGATGAGATAGCGCCAAATGCTCACAAAGTAAGTGTTCTTACTGAAAAAAAATTCAGATTTGATGCATAAACTGCGAGAAAGCGATTTATCTCAAATATTTGTTGTTTAGAATTTCAACGTGTATTTATTGTGTTTTCACTTTGCTGCGAATTCAGTTGCATCCACTTTCACTTTACCTTGATTATAATTCAATGTAAACCGTTTATTGGTTGGATATTGGTTGGAAACTTTTTGAAAAAGCTATTGCATCCCGATACAAACTACAAACCACACTTTGATCAATCCTGCATAATACCACACACATGCTAATACGAACGCCGCTTGAAACATGGTCAGATACCATGGATTTCAGGGTATGCATGTGGTACACGTGGGGGCGCTCTGCTCGACACCACGAGGACGAGGTTGATCGTATTGACCTTTAGTCTGGTCGATTAATTAAGACACTCGGACGGCTCTGACAAAATCTTAGGTCAGGTACCACCCAGACCCACAGTCAGTCTGCAACACTCACAAAAGCCACTTTGGTTTCTTTGCTGCGTATGCACTTTTCTGCTCGTGTGACCACGCCTTACATATTTAATGAGGAAAAAGAGCGTTACGAAATAGACGGACTTGGCTGCTGGTATGAACAATACTGTCAAAATCGTTGACTTGTGTTTTAGTTGAATTTTGTTTTCATTAAATGCTAGTTTTAAGTGCAGTCATTGTCAAAAATGTGTTAAAATGACACGATAATTGTCCCAAAACACCAGAAATTCTCATCTGAAAACCCGGGAAATATTTTCCTATTTTTCAGTGTGGCCAGAGTTTCAGTTTACATTCTGCAAAAAGTTTATTTTATGACCTACTCAAAAATGCAGTTTTATATTCACAACTTTCTCTACCTGACTCGAGGCGCAACCTTAACGAAGTGTTGACACATTTTATTAGAACGATTCTGCCGCCTGGGAGGAATATGGATTTTCCGGCCACTGACTGTTTTCGTCACAAATATGCATACATAACCCGGATGTGCTTCCGCTTGTGAACAAACAGAGCACAGGACGCTGCAGGCTTTACGTGTATTGCCTCGGTAGATTCAGGTTTGCATTTGTATTTAATTGCTGAGATAATTCTTATGTTACTGTAAATCCTTGTTTGGGGGTTCTGTTCTTCAGAAGTTTTTTTCATAAATCAGCTTTAGTCGATCAGGATCTCTCACTATATTTTTGGTACCGAGCAGTGCTTGGTTTTAACAGTTATTTGTAATGTTTTTCTGTATTACTATTGCGTACTGATACGGGTTATCTGGTACTAATTAATCTCTTTTGCTTTAGCTCCATTCGTTTTACATTTAAGAGGGAAAGTTTTGCAGTGGCATTATTTGGCTGTGGGGGCTTCAGACTCAGGTTATTTCAGCGTAGGCTTAACCGCAAGAAAGATTTGCTTTTTCTCTAAGCATTTATCCCTACGAAATCAGTACACAGTCAGACAGTGGTACACACCATGTACATGTACGTTCCAGCATTGTAGTCACGTAATACGTAATGTGAGACTGACTAACTGTTAGACTGACTGCCAAACAAAAAGCCTCTCGCACAAAAAAGTGCGGCATAAAACTCATATACGTTTTGTCGCCACAAATCATCCCTTCATATGAAAGATAGTTTCATTTATCTGTAAAAAAGTTTCAGTAATTGTTATCAAGCTGGGTCAGGGTGCAGCAACCTAAAGTACATCTAAACGTTGTAGACCCAAAAATACAACCTCTCTTTAAACTTTTATATTTTTCACCAGTACCTCACATAATAGGGACAAATTTCATATTATTCGATTCAGGACATCGTGCTCTGTCTACTCACCACGCTATTTTAACAGGCAATACTTGTAAGCGTGTTGTTCATAAAAAAAAATTGCCAACTCTCACTTTTTCACGCGCAAGTCTCGCCGCTCAAACCGCACATGTGGATCGGCAAAGAAATTATGCAATTTGACCTCATTCTAGAGGGCGCTGCGGACTGACTGACCCGGCCCGGATATACATGACGCAACATATCAAGGGTCGCAAGAAAAGCCTATAGGTGGATACCATAGGCTATTAATGTTGGCAGTCACTTTGAAAACATGCAAGAAACTCTTTCTAAAAAATGTTAAGGAAGGGAGCAACATCGTGTTCAACATATTGGCAACAAACGAAAGAAAAATATATCTCATTATCCGTACAGAAACGGCCGAATATATACCGAAGAGCAACTTTGTAATCCAAATGTGGACGGGACGAGTTCGGAATATTTCGGCTATTTTCAGAAACTGGAGGCTATCCTCTGGTTTTAGTCAGGTGGAAAGTGGGTGATACCTGATCCTTGATTCGACGAAAATAGTCGGAATCATTAGGTCTGGTATCCAGACTAATTGACTTTCTACATCCCAGCCCGCTCCTAGTCTTTTCATTTTTTTCACTCTCTCCCTTTGTGCCAACACTGACCAATAGGCGTCCTCTGTAAACCTTCGATTGCGTTTTTTTACCTCAGTCCATGTATTTTCTGCAGAACTGGGCAACTAATACCAATTAAAGATACGTGTACACGCATTTGCATTCCAAAATGGTGACTTTGAGAATGCCCAAAGTTCCACATGGCTCAACATTTGTCTCAAGTCATGAGAGGGTCAATGCCGGTTCAGTTTCATAACATTACTTCTGTAGGGAGCATTTTGTGAATCTGGTAAAAAAAAGTGGCACAGTTGTGAAACGAGCTGTTGATCTAGCACACTCGCACATCAAATACCGTGACATTTGTTTCCAATCTCGCATTCGTAATTGAAATATTGCCTTTAGTGCACCACAACAAGCGTCATTGACATACTACAAAAACAAGTACAAATACAACACTGGGATATTATTGGAGTTGACAGAATCCTTTTAATACAGTAACTTAGCGATATATTTCGAAGTCGCTTTTTGCAGAGTGGTGAAGAGTCACTCAGAACATGGACATATTAAGTACAAAGACAAACTGGTAATTACGGGTAATAATCTGCACGATTCAGCATTAATAATCATTTTATTCAAACATGTTTAAAAGTGTAAGACAAAAAATATTCCAAGCATGCATAACTATATATGATAAAATTACCGTATAAGCGGCGTCTGCATACAGCAACTGCGCCCACTGTGTTTTGTTAGCGTGTTTCTCATTGGTCAATATTTTGAACGTAAGTGCGCACACTCTATACGTATTAAAAGGATCCAGGAAATGATTTTTTTCTGTGAATCACTTTTTGTGCATATCTGCACTCTTCCTCCATGTATAAAGACTGTTTAGCATCTTTTTGAGTAATGTGAACCGAAAGGTGCACATTCCAAATTGACCAAGCATTGATGGAAAAGTGAGGGCGCTTTTGCTTTGATGTAAATCCAGGAACACGTGGTTCAGGTAGCGTGTTTTCATGTTTAAATTGTGAACTCAAAATTTGATATCTGAGAAACATCCCTGTCAAAACGATGATTACTGGCTTATTGCCATTTACTTACAAAGCAATAAATTTCCAAAGACAATGAAATCTATACCATAGCAGTGTTCAAAAAAATCTAGAAATTTTCTGTGCATAGATCGGTGCAATATCGAGATTCAGTGCCTTTATTTGACATCATGGTTCTGTTCCAGAATATGTTAATGTGCATTAGCTTAAAAATTAATAAAGCTCCAAATTATGGGTTAAAATTGGCTAAACAAATATGTAAAATCAGGTGAATTGAAACCTGAAGATCCAATTTCAAGGGTTTGGTAAAATTTATCAAAATATTTCTAGTTCATGGTTCATTTAAGCAGGGGAAAATGGTAGATATGGAAAATGGTAACACATACTGGATATATATCACCCCGCTTTCCGAGTATGCCTATGACAAAGACTTCGCCTATCATTCACATCACAGATTAAGCTGCATCCAAATCTCTTGTCTAGGGCTAGGTCTAGGTCTTCGCTCCATTGCGAATGCATGGAGACGCGCAGACAATAGACTTAGCCGTAGCTCTGGAAGCCCGGACACGGCCTTACTTTTATTTATTAAGAAGACGCCGTTCCACTTTTTGCACAAATTGCCGCAAGTCCTTGGCGAGTAGGTCTGGTACCTCGAAGGCAGCGAAGTGGCCGCCTGTTGGGTAAGTCGTGTAGGAGACAATATCTGTGTAGTGCTGGGACGCCCAGTTCTTCTGTGCTCGCGTCAACTCGTTCGGCAGATCCGCCAAACCGGCGGGCACAGTGTTTAAGAAACTGCAAATAATGTCAGAAACCCATTGCGTTAATAAGAAAGAGAGATCTTACTAAAAGCTATACCGGTTGCTTTGAGTCGTGTGGCGGCAGATCTTGTCACCACACAAATTCAGTAACATTCCCTTAATAACGTCCTGTACGTGTGGGCCTATGTCACTAAGTCTTTGCTCTTCTGACAGTTTAAATGGATTCAATGACCCTCAAAAGTGTTCTTTTTCTGGGCTATCGCGTGTTACTTTATTAACATTCATAACAAAATGACGTTTCTAGCTTTTATCCACCAAAAGCAAATTAGAACTTACTTGCTCAACGATCTGGAAACTGGAATGGTCTCTTTGTACAAGCGCACAGAAGACGTAATACATCCAGACACCCAGTAGATCATAACATTAGTTAACAGGTCGTCTTTGGACCAATGAGCGTCGAGCCCGCCG